CACCTGGTGGCTTGAAATTCACTCTGGTCTTGTGGGTGTGTGTGCCCAAGATCCTGGGAGGAGAATGGAGGAGAAGGGATTGGAACATGGTCATCCCCCCTGGGTGGTGATTTCTCACTTCCCTTCTCACTGTCTCTGTATCTCTCTCTCTCTCTCTGGTGAATGCATGTGTCCTAAGGTGAATACCTCTACCAAAACAAAAACAACTACAACAACAACAACAAACCAGGAAGGAGAGGGATTCACTCTTCCTCTGCCTTTTCATTCTGTTTGGGTTCTCAACAGAGTGGACGATGCCATCCATGCTGTTGAGGATGGACTCAGTCTACCTATCCGAAGGACCCAGAAATGATTTTTACCAGCTCTCTGGGCATCCCTAGCCAGTCGATAGACACACCTGTAGCTTTTAGACTAGTTCTAGCCGTTCTCAGAGGGAGGCCTGGCCAGAACTAACGTCCATAAGCCGAAGGAGAAGTCACTAGAAGATGCTCATACTGTTTCTGTTGTTATTGGTGAAGAAAAGCAGGACAGTTTCTTTCTTTTTTAAAAGAATTATTTATTTAACTCCATTTGTTATTATTGTTTTTTAATTTGATGAGAGAGAGAGAGAGAGAGAGAGAGAGAGAAAGTGAGAAGGCAAGCCAGGTCTGGGACTCAAACCAAGGTCGGCCATGTGGGAATCCAGTGCCCTTAACCACCACACCACCTGCTGACCCCAAGAAAAGCAGGACAATTTCTTTCTAGGATACCCCTCCTTGTCTGAGGGGCAACCCCCAGTGGCCTGAACCTGCTGGTTTGTCTTTGGAGGCTTCATGTTGTGTTGATTTCAGAGACTGAGTGGTGTGACTCTCCCTAGCTCAAGACTCACCCTCCAGCTCACCTAGAAGCCAAGGTCTCCTCTTTGAGGACCCTGGGCCAGCTGGGCCCAGGGAAGGTCCAGCCACTGTGGGGGGATGCCTAAAAATGCTGAGATTTTCTGTTCCCCCTGCAGGAGAACTGTACCGGGTCTCTTTGAGAAGACAGCGATTCCCAGCCCAGGGAAGCATCGAGATCCATGAAGACAGCGAGGTGGGCTGGGTTGGGTGGCCATGGTGAAAGAGCCCATGGGGCCAGCAGGTGGTGTGGTGGTTAAGGATCCCACATTCAGTAGCTTGAAAAACATGGCGGGCATGTGTGCATAGGTGTCCAGAATCCCGAGAGGAGAGTGGAGGAGAAGGGATTATGGCATGGCCATCCCCCTGGGGGGGATTTCTCACTTTCCCCATCTCTCTCTCTTTCTCTCTGGCAAGTACATGTTCCTCATAGCAAAAGCTAAAAAAAAAAAAAGAAAAATGAAAAAAGAAAAAAGAAAGTTCCCTGGGATGGGAGGTAGTCTACCTGGTTTTCATCCAGCTCTTTATTCTATTCACTGTGTGACCCAAGGCCAGTGCCTGTCTTCTGGGCTCCCGGCTCCCCCGTGAACAAGAAAGGACTCCTGCCCTGACACGCCTCGAGGGTCTTGCCCCTCACTCCATGCACTGGAGGTGCCATTACCCAGGGAGCTGTGGAACTCTCCGACTCGGAGCTGAGACAGGCTGCTGCCCCAGCGACGGCCCCCTGCAGGGGTCCCCGTGCACCCCCACCCTTCCCCGCTGCCTGTCTCTCGCTATCCCAACCGATGTCCCTCTCAGGAAGGCTGCCCGCAGCGCTCCTGCAAGACGCACGTCCTCCTGCTGGTGCTGCACGGGGGGAACGTCCTGGACACGGGCTCGGGGGACCCCTCCTGCAAGGCGGCCGACATCCACACCTTCAGCTCCGTGCTGGAGAAGGTCATGCGTGCGCACTTTCCTGCTGCCCTGGGCCACATCCTCATCAAGTCTGTCCCCTGTCCTGCCATCTGCTCTGAGGCGTTCTCGCTGGTATCAAAGTGAGTCCGTTTCTGCTTGTTTGGACTGGTGGGGTGCCTGGGAGGAGGGGGGTCAGATCCTGGCTGGCCGTGAGCCGCTGGTGGGACGTCGTCCTTGGAAGAGGCCTTGTTGTGGACCGTGTGGAGCTGGGTCCCTGTGATGGTTCGGGTCTCCTGCCTGGGCCCATTCGGCCTGATCTAGCTGGCCCGGATTAGGAAACTGAGGCATGAGAGGTTTGGCCATTTCCCCCAGGGTTACCCAGTGCATGGAGCCAGGAGTCAAACGGAGGCAGCCTCTCCCCCCAGTCACACGATGGCAGCCCAGTAGGAATGTGTGATGCAGACTAAGAGAGCCTGCCCTACAGCAGCCCTGCTGCCAGAGGGCACTGTGGGCACCCCAAGTGAGGGCCAGGGAAGACTTCCTGGAGGAGGCAACTTTCGAGTGTGCATAACACATTACACGTGTGGCCTCGTGGACCAGCCTGGGCTTGACTCTGGCTGTGTCACGTGGGGGAAGCTGTTTAACCTCTCCACGTCTCAGCCTCCTCATCGGTAAAGTTAGTAGCATGGACTGCCTCCCGGCACTGTCACGTAGATCCTGCGTGCTCGTGCAGAACCTCGCACGGCGCCGACTCAGAGCAAGCAGGCAGGGTGAAGGCGTGACTGGCACCATTCCCTGCGTGGGGAAGGCGGTGCTATCTTGGTGGAGAGTGGGCTGGGTGGGACGTTCTGGGCCTAGCAGAGAACTCCGCCATTCAAGTAAGCGGGGACGGCACGGTGTGGACACAGAAGCGCTGACAGAGCACTGGGCAGCTGGCTCGCTGCAGGCACCACCCACTCACCCACATGGACCCTGGTGTCCGTGAGGGCAAACCTAGGATCTGGGGCCTATGGGAGATCTCACCCCCTGCTCCAGGGGCTGAGGGTTCCCGTGCTCCCCAGGGGCCTACCGTATTGAACCAGCTGGAGCCTACGAACACCCTAGTTGCTCAGCATTAGTGTGTGCATAAAAGGCCCCAGGAGCCGCAGGGCCCATGGCCCACAGGGCATTTGGCAAATTACTTGAAGCTGGGACCTGTCTGCGGTCAGGGAGAGAGGGAGGCTGGCTGCACCTCTCTCTTGGCACTCACCCCTTCTCATGTAGCTGCCAGAGCCTTGAGGCTTCTGCAGAGACCAGCTTTCTGGCAGAGCCCCCATCCACTGGGACTTGGGCAGGATGGGAGACAGCGTCCCGGCAGAGAGCTGGAGTGGGCAGGGAGCTCGCAGCCCCCCCAGGAGAATGGCGGCCAGTGTGCTCAATCTATGTGGCTCTGGGGAGGGTGCCGCAGTGAGGAGGGCCCAAGGCCCCTGCCCCGGAGCTTCCAGGTGGTAGGGAGAGAGCATGGATAAGCCCCTTCCCTTCACCGGGCACCCCTCCAGATGGGGAGCAGACACCGTGGCTTGTCTGTTCCCGGGACACTGACAGGGCACATCCCTGGTGTGATTCCACCGCAGCCTGTCCAGGCTCACCCCGGAGCTGTGGGCCCAGAAGGAGGAGGCCCGAATCGGCCTGCTCGCTGACCCCTGGCTGCTTCTCCCTCGGTGCGGGATTTGGGAACTGTGGCTGCAGTGGCGGCACCTTCCCTTCATCAGTCTCAGCTCCCCCCAACCCAGCCTGCCCCCAGGACATCTGACCTCCAGAGCTGGGTCATCCTATCTCCAGGAAGACGGATGGCCAGCATTTGAGGGGACAGCAGGAGGAAGCTTACCTCTCCCCCAGGCAGCTCCTTGCCAGGGCCATTAATCACCCCTAATCACTGCTGGGAGGGAGAGCTTTCTCAGCTAATTAAAACCTCTCCGACTGCAAGTGAGGCCTGTTTCCTCTAATTTGTGTTCTTTGGAGATGAGGAATGGCTAGGGGAGGCCGGCCTTGCATACCAGGAGGACTCTGTCACCTGCTGGAGGGTGCCTGAGCCCTGCCACCTCCCCAGTGTCTGTCAGGAACCCCAAGCCTGGACTATGGGGGAAGGGCAGGCTCTGGGTGGGGGCGGGACATTTCTGGTGTCCCTTGGGGGTCTCTCCAGATCCTGGGTCAAGGTTGGATGCCCTAGGGGTCAGAGGCTAGCTGGGCCAGGGAAGACTGCTGGGAGGCTGGTCTCAAGTGATTTGAGCTGCCTGGAGACGGAGAGAGTGAGAAGGATGGAGGGAGGGAGGCCATGCAAAGTCTGCACAGTCCGCTGGCAGTGGGACTGCAGCAGGTCAGGCTCACTTAGCCTCTGGGGTCCCAGACCTTCTCACAGCTGTGGAAAGTTCTGGATCCTCTCCCTGCTACACAGTGGACAACATGGTGCCTGCAGCTTTGCACCCCTCTGCACCCCAAGTTCTGACCAACATGTGATTGCCATGTCTGGCATGCCCTCTCTCCTCCTTCCTCAGCTTCTTGGAAGCCTTCTTTGAGCCCTTATTTAAATCTACCTCCTCCAGGAAGTCTGCCATGATGTGTTCCCGCCCTGATCAATGCTAGCTGGCTTCCCAGCAGATTTCTTCCTCCACAGTCAGGGTATCCTTTGGGGTCATGCAGACAAGGGCCAGAGAGCACCAGGGTCCACACAGGGGAGTCAGCCGAGGCCTGACTGCTCGCCCCTCCTCTCAGTGCCCCTGCCCACATGGGTCCTCTGTCACACCAGCCCCAGCTTGGGTCATCCCAAAGAGCCCTGGAGCAGCAGGGCCCGTGCCTGGCCGGCGTGTGCTCTTCTGCCTGGCCCTCAACCCCACGGCTGCCCGGCTGCCGGATCCCAGCTGGGCTTACCCTGGGCCCCCTGTCTGCAGCCTGAACCCCTACAGCCACGACGAGGGCTGCCTCAGCAGCAGCCAGGACCACGTCCCGCTGGCCGCCTTGCCCCTGCTGGCCATCTCCTCCCCGCAGTATCAGGATGCCGTTGCCACCGTCATCGAGAGAGCCAACCAGGTCTACGGAGAGTTCCTCAAGTCCTCCGATGGGATTGGCTTCAGTGGGCAGGTAGGATGGCTTGCCCTGCCCTGTCCTGCCCGGGAGAGAGGCCAGCGTCTGCTGGAAGGATCCAGCCTGGGCTATTCACACATCTGGGACCCAGGGGGGCTTTGGAGATCTTCAGGTGTGCCAAAAGAGAGGAAAACGAGGCCGGCAATCCGAGTTCTGGTGTGGCCCCCATGCTGGTCCTGGGCTGGAGTCTGGCCCCTGATTATAGCTCGATTCCTGTTCTCAGGCGTCTAACCCTGGGCCTGGGCTAAACCCTGACTCAGACAAGTGTACTCCCGCCCCAGCTGGGCTCCCTCAGTGTCTGACAAGATAGGACAAGGACGGGTTCCTTATTCTCCCTTGGAAAAGGTGCCACCCCCCGCCAGGGTGAGGGGTGAGGGGTCAGCGGCGAGCAGGCCTGCAGAGCCAGCTGTGCCCCCTGCAGGTGTGTCTCATCGGGGACTGTGTGGGTGGCCTCCTGGCCTTCGACGCCATCTGCTACAGTGCGGGGCCCGCGGGGGACAGCCCTGGGAGCAGCAGCCGGAAGGGGAGCATCAGCAGCACCCAGGTGCGGCCATGGGGGGGCTGGGGGCGGGGCGTGTCCCTGGGAGCCCTCCCCTAGCCTAGAGGGCAGCCTTCTGGGGTCTCAGTGCTGGTCCTCAGGGCACCCTGGCACCCAGGTTACTAAGGATTATAGCACAGTTCTACAAGAGCAGCAAGAGGTCATATCACAGATGAGGAAACGGAGGCCCTGGGGGGGGCGGATTTGGGCCTGGCTCCCTAGACAGTTATCTGGTGTCCCCGGGGAATCTCCCGTCCCTGGGGGCGTAGGGACAGCCTGCACTTAAAAGCCCGCCCTTATTGCGCCATGGCTTCCGTGCGCCTTTAGGGAGAACTGTAGCCGGTTGTGCCTTCGGAGGAAGGGCTTCTTTTTGTGGCTGATAGAGGAGGCAGGGGCTCCGGAGTGTCCCGTGACGGCAATGCTCTCTTGTCCCCTGCTCGGCCCCAAAGGACACCCCGATCGTGGTGGAGGAAGACTGCAGCCTAGTCAGTAGCAAGCGTCTGAGCAAAAGCAACATTGACATCTCCAGTGGCTTGGAGGATGAGGAGCCTAAGAGGCCGTTGCCACGGAAACAGAGCGATTCCTCCACCTATGACTGCGAGGCCATCACCCAGCATCACGCCTTCCTCTCAAGGTAACCCTCTGCCTGTCCCCTGCCTTCCTTCCATTAGTGCACCAGGGAGGGATTGGACCGTGGCTTGCAGTCACCTGGGAGGCCTGTGACCAGTCATGTCCCAGGTCCTTCCGTGGGGGCCATCGGTGAACCCTGAAATCCTGTCACCAGGGTTGCTGGCTATTAGCCCTGCAATGGGACCTGGAAACCTATTCCTTGTCCCTGTTTCTCCCTGACCTGCAGATAGGCTAGGGACAATCAATTTCACCTCCCTGAGGCTCAACTTCGTCTTCTGCAAGAATAATGCCGTCCCCTCCTTCACTGGTGGTTTCTAAGGATGTAGTGGGATCGCAGACAGCTCACAAAGCCGCCCCCAGTGTGTTCCTACCATTTCTCAAACGAGGGAACAGAGGACCCAGTAGGTTATGAACTTTCTGGGGGTTACATGGTTAGTTACCAAAGAGCTGGGGTCGGCACTGTCCCCAGTTCCATGCTTCTAACACAACACACTCTTAGGGCTATTTGTTTACTGTTTTATCGAGAGAGAGAGAGAGAGAGCAAGGGAAGCACAGCCCTCACAGGATCCTCAAGCTGTGATCCACCCCCAGTCTCAGCCAGCCAGGATCATGGTACATGCAGGGAGACCTCGGGATGTGAACCCGGGACCTTCCTATGTGGCCTCAGCACCGTGAGTGTTGCGTTACTGCTGTGCCACTATGGTGGCTATAATACACACTTCGTTAGGAGATCAGGAAGGCCCATGAAACTGTCCATCCTAAAACTTTACAGAAGAGACATTTTTTAGCTTTGCTGTAAGGCACATGCACTTGCCAGAAACAGAAGGAGAGAGAGAAAGTAAGAAAGCACATGTACCCCTGCCCCCCAACACGCACACCGGGGAATGGCCGTGTTGCAGACCCTTCTCTTCCATTCTGCTCTTGAGATCTTGGGCACATGCGCACATGTACCCAGCATGATTTTCTTCTTTTCTTGAGAGAGATTTTTTAGCAATAGGGCACGTGTGCTCACTGGAGAAACAGAAAGCGACAGAGAGACAGACAGTGATAAATCAACCCCGACAAGAGATGGCCACACCACAATCCCTTCTCCTCCATTCTCCTCTCGGGATCTTGGGCACGCACGCACACGCACCCAGGGTGAGTTTCAAGCTACTGGGTCCAGGACTCTTAACTGTGTCGACTACATAGGAGTCCAGCAACATAACCATTACGCCACCTGCTGGTCCTCCAGCATGATTTTCAAGCCACCAGGTCTAGGACCCCAACCACAGAGTCAGCCATGTGGGAGCCAGTGCCTTAACCTCCATGCCACCTGCTGCGAATCTTAACGCAGACTAAATAAATTATCTTCACATTAGTTTAGGACACAAATGAGTATTGAACATAGACTCAAGCTGGAAGGAATGGTTTTCTTTTTCCCTTTCTCCTTAACCCTCTTCACCCTCTTTCTTACCTAAGTGTTAAGTACTATGAGGTCATTATATTTGGAAAATACATCATCTCACTACCTGGAAAGAACTGCTGTTAACATTTAGGAGTATTTCCTTTCTGTATTTTTAAAATATATACTTTCCATATAGTTTTATTTAAAAAAAAAAAAGCTTTCACACTGTGATCTTTTCCTATATAATTAAAAATAGTTGGTAAATATTCTTAATGGCAATATAGTGCACTGAGAATAAGTAAAAACATGAGCATGACAACAGCTTCCTTCATCTCAGTAATTGACTCTTTGACCTTTTTGTTGTTGATTTCTTTCTTCCGGGAGTGAAAGAGAGAGAGAGGCAGCACCTCTACCAGGCCTCAGCGCCAAGATCTATACCCCGTGTCAGCCGGCCCCAGATCATGGGCGAGCTCAGGGAGGACTCCAGATGCGAACCTGGCACCTTCTCATCCGAATCAGTCCCATAGAGCACCTCATTTTCTCACTGTACCTCTGTCTGCCTCCTTTTTTAAAAAAAAATTATTTCTTCCCTGAGTGAGAGATGTAGAGAGACAGAGACAGAGAGATAGGGCACCCTCAATAGGATCCTGATGCCGTGATGCGCCCCCAGCTCTAGCCGGCCCCAGTTCATGGGCTCGTGGATACCTGGCGTGTTCAGAGACGTCTCTGGATGTGAACCTGGAACCTTCCCGTGTGGATCAGCTTTGCAGAGTGTGGCATTACCACAGCGCCACCACCCAGCCCCCATGGCTTTGTCCAAGTTTTTACTATTTTGTATGTTTATAGTTGTTGCTGTAGAGAGAGACAGAGAGAGAAAGTGAGAAATCACCCCCCTCCAGGAAGGGTGGGGATGGCCACGCTGCAATCCCTTCTCCAGTCTCCTCTTAGGATTTTGGGCACGCACGCACACACACCTGGTGTGATTTTCAAGCCACTAGGTTCTGGACTTGAATTGCATAGCTGGTCACGTGGGATCCAGCATCTTAGCCTCCATGCCACCTGCTGGCCTGTTTGCCCTGACAAATAGCACTACAGTGGACATCTTTGCGTATTAAAAGTACAGATATGTGGGCTATTTCATTCGAAGGGATTTTTGGAGGAGGAGTTACTGAGTCAAAGGTGCTGCCTATTTCCATTGTTGACCATTTAAAGGTCACCCAACAGATCATCCTTTCGAAAAGCAGCTACGAAAATCTCGACGTTTCTGGTTCATCCTTGAAAAATCCTTTAGGAAAGTCCCAAATCTGGAGAGTGACTAGCATTGAGAAGCTTTCGGTACTTGGTCGAGCACTGCCAACATTTCCCTCTGGCGTAGGGACAGATGGTTGATGCCTTGGCAATTAAGTAGTTGGCGTGTGCTGAGGGACCACGCTGTACGTGAACTATGGGTCGTTAAACACCAGAGTCATCGTCTTCACTGCGAGATGTGCACACCGAGAGGCAGGAGGGAGCGTGCAGTGTGAGGATCCGACTTTGCAGACTCCCTCACACCACAGGATGGGGGACTTGTCCATCCAATTGCAATGGTTATTTCTTCTTCTTTTCCTTTTTCTATTGCCAGAGGGCATACACACTACCAGAGAGAGAAAGGGTTGAAAATATAGAGACAGAGATAAGAAGAAAGCACCCCTAAGGGAGTGTAATCATAACACAATCCCTTCTCTTCCACTTCTCCACCCTGTCCAGATTTGGGGCATGCATGTACATGCACCCGGGGTATTTTTCAAGCCTCTGAAGCCTAGATTCCAACCTCAGTGGGTAACGTGAGCTCCCTTAACCATAGGCCATGGGATCGGCCCTCAATTATTTCTAGGTTTTCTCCGCCCACTCGAGTTGCTTCGTTGAACTTGTTCATTGATGTGTCATGCAAGTCCACTGTCAGGCTTTCCCCACCAAGCTGTACCTAATGCTAGCTGAAACTCAGGGAGGCCTCCAGTTTTCCTTCTGGTCCTCAGCACCCTCTCTGGGTCTGCAGCTGGACAGAACCTGAACTCTTTCTGGGGCACCCGGGACAGGAACTGGAGTTTTGGGTGCTGTGTGCTTTTCTCTTTAAGCCCTGCTTCATCTGCGGGCTGTGGGGTGGGGGTTGGAGAATAAGCTGTTTGCCTCTGTGTCTGGGGACTGCCTGGAACACGAGTTGTGACGAAACCCTCATCTTGGCAGAACCATCCCAACCCAGCTGGTCTGTGCATTGGCCAGGCTGGGTCTGGTAAACAGTGCAGGAATTCTCGTGTGGCCATCACAAAGCCAGCACAGGGGAGCAGGCCCGCCTGAGTGAGGGAGGCGTAGGCCCTCACAGGGGCTCAGTCTATTTTTCTACATCAAGTTTGAGTGGGTCCTTTCCACACATATTTAAGTTTGTCCGTGGCTGCTTCACGCCACCGTGGCAGAGTTGAGTAGAGGGAGCAGAGACACATTGCCTGTGAAGGCTGAGATAGTTACTACCTGACCATCTGCAGAAAAAGCTTGCTGGCCCCTGCTCTGGCCAAACGTTGGCCAGGCCTTGGTGGCCGATGCTGAGATTGTCACCAGCACATGTGGGTGGTGTCTGGCAAGAGGATTCTGCTTCTGTGCCCTGCCCCAGAGAGAGGGTCTGAGAGCTGCACACTCAGACTTCAGGCCCCGTTGCGGCCCTGCCCTAACCTGCCTCCTCCCTCCGCAGCATCCACTCCAGTGTGCTGAAGGAGGAGGCCGAGCTCCCTGCAGCCCGGGCTCCCCAGCTCCCCGAGGTCAGCCTGGGCCGCTTTGACTTCGACGTGTCCGACTTCTTCCTCTTCGGCTCTCCCCTGGGCCTGGTCCTGGCCATGCGGAGGACGGTGCTGCCCGGGCTGGATGGTGGGTATGGCATGGGCTGGGCCCATGATGTCAGGACCTCCGAATGGGGAGCCAGCGTGGGGCGGGGTGGAGGGCAGTGCTGGGGAGGGTCACAGAGTCGGGGTAGAGGGAGAGAGAGGACAGGAGGGGTGGACGAGAGAAGAGAGGGAGAGGAAAAAGAAGGAGCAGTTTCTTCCAATGGGGTGAAGGCAAGACAGCTTCTGGTGGGTTTCACTGTCCCTATCACATGCCCTGGCCCACCTGTGGCCCCATTGTCCTGCACTCACGCCCTATGGGAAGAGAAGCCACAAATGTTCACCCTATCGCATCCCATCCCATCCCATCCTTCTGTACCCAGGGACCCCACTGCAGTGAGGGTGGTCTCACTGACACCCCCACCTGTGCACCCAAGCCCGCCTCAGTGCCTTTGCTAACGCAGTACCTGCAGCCTTGAATGGCGATTCCCGTCTCTCTAAAATACACGCGTGGAATGGTTTGCCCCAGCAGGGGCTTCGCAGTGACTTTGAGGACCTGAGCACAGGCTGTCAGAGACTGGAAGGTACCTCTGACTGCACCACATTGGTGCTTTTTGCCAAAACTGACTGACAGCTGATGATGTGGGACGGGGGGAAAGAGGGATGGGCTTAAGTCTCAATAGAAGTGAGGAGGTGGAACCCCACAGCTGCCCTCAAGGTCGCTAAGGAACCCTAGGAATCTCAGGATGCTGGACCATCCAGTCCCCTGTGCTACAGGGGCAGGGAGGATGCCTCAGTGGAGACACCTGCTGGTCAGTGAGGGAAGTGTTCTGCTAGCTGGAACTCGTCAGTGTCACACCTAGGCCTGAGCGTCGTAGGTGCTGCAGGAAGGGGCAGCTGACCTGGCTGAAAGAACCTGGGTTGGTTTTGTAACTGGGTAGTAACTAAGAGAAATCTGGAAGGGTTGAAAGGAGTTTGACCAGTGAAAAGAGTGGAGGCTTCCCCGGAGAAGAGGACAGCTTGAGCGAAGGCAGAGTAAGGCACATGGCAGTGCCGGGTGTCTATAGTGGTGGGCAGGTTGGCAAGGCCTTGGGTTCCCAGCTGAACATGGTGGCTTTGATCCTATTGCTCCAGGGAGCCATGGGAGGTTCAACAGAGCCGTAGGCTACTCTAAGTTGCACTCCAGGGAGCCTTCTGGGGCTAAGGGTGCAGGGGCTAGGAAGGGCCTTCCCTAGCGTCCTCCCCTTCACCCCAGGTTTCCAGGTGCGTCCTGCCTGCAGCCAGGTCTACAGCTTCTTCCACTGCGCAGACCCCTCCGCCTCGAGGCTCGAGCCGCTGCTGGAGCCCCAACTCCAACA